GTTATTAATGAGTGTTCTGTACAACAGAACTTTTTTCATTGACTTTAGAGGCACTGGACTTTTTTGTTCTTTTCCTGTCCGCCTAACCATCTCTATTTTCTCTAAGAGCTTTTCTTTTTCTGATGTCTTAACGGGCATTTCCCAATGCACCCAATCTTTTATCCTCCTTTTTATCTTTTCTACCTTCTTTTTCTAGTCTTTCTAGGCGATGTGATTTTGGCTTGTGAGATTACTATCACATATATGTCTCCAGCTCTTAACATTTTTTAAAGTAAGCTTGGCATAAATTCTAATTCCATGCTTTTGGGATCACCAATTATATCTTGCCTCAGATTGTGTTCAATGCCATACTTTCCTTTATTCTCTATATTAGTTACCCTTTACAGCTTTCTTATTTTCTATAGTGGTATCAGACTTCTGTTTTATCACCCAGGATAGTTATCACAGAATCGCCTTGGTTTCCCCTTTCTTTATCTTTATCTCATCACTCACTAAGTCCTGTCTGTTTTCTAAAATAGTATTCATAAGGCATCCCTCCTCTCTGTTTCCATTTTTGCTTCTCTCATTCAAGATCCTCATTATTTTATCCTTGAATTATGCTGTATTGTCATAAATAAAAAAATCTATGAGTTACCTTGTTTTCTGGAATGGCAGGGATGATAAAAATGTGAATAAATGTGCTGAAGAATAGCTTCTTTCTGCAGAGTTCAGTACTGAGTATCTCAGAGTGTAGCCAGCAGGAGGGGCCTGACCTTAAAATTCAACCAGCTGTGTCAGCCCTCCTCAGGTGCCACCCTCAGTAGGGGCAAAATCTGGTTAGGCCTGTTAGGGAATAACAGGCTGAACTGGCAGAGATTAGTTATCATGTGTAGCTATCTACTCTCAAGGATCTGAGCTGTCTTTCTCTTCTGGGAGTGGTAGTTGGAATGAAAGGAGAAAGAGGAAAGAAAAAGAAAAGGAAAAGCCAGGGATTTTTTTAGGACTGCTGTGAATGTGGAACTTCAAGGAGAAGAATTAATGTCTAGAGAGAATGGAAGAAGGATCTACTTGTGGCTTCTCTGCATTTCTTTCTATCCTGTAAACCATTTGGTATGCTCATTCTCATAAATGACCTTATTTCATTGGTCAGGCCATTCCCAAAGCTTTATTGCTGAGAGGATATGGCCTCATCCACTGACCTCACTGTACTTTTTGAACCTGTGTATATAACTCACTATTCAATTCATAACTTCTGTTATTTGTTATATACATGTGTGTATAACTCACTATTCTGTTCAGAACTTCTATGTTGTTTCTATATTCTCTGGTCTTATCTATTTCTAGAACATACCCTACTTTCTTTGTTGTTGCTAATGTTATACCAATGTACTGTACCCTCCATCCTCTCCTTTCCAAGTTCTAACCTAACATTATCCAGGTGCTGATATATGTCACGTAGTTGTTTGAAGGCCTTTTTGTTTGATCGTGTGTGCGTCCATGTGTACTTTCCTCCCTTCCCATTCTGTTAACTCCTTAGTACTGTTGGGCCCCACCATCCTTTGTTAAAATACTGGATTGTGTATGTTACTATTTGATGTTGGTCTTACCAAATCCTTTAGATTGTAAGCTCCTGGAGAGCAAGAATAACGTCTTTATCTTGTATTCTTCATGATGACAATTATTTCTTAGGTGTTAGTAAATCCCTGTGTAATGAATGACTTTGAAACTTATTACTTAAACAAAAATTTTATCTGTAAACTGGCTGGACCGAGGAGTACAATCAGCAGTTGTCTTAGCACTGACTTCCCTTGCTAGGTGAGATAATTAGAACCAGCAAGTAGATTTGCCATTTTGTCAGAGGGCTCTGCTTGAGGTATAGTTTAGGAGACACTGTCATGGAGCAGATTCTATAAATGTGTTACCTGAGTAGCAGGTATTCAGTGAAGTCTTAGTGTCAGAGCACAGATCTCAGCCTGGGCCACTTAAGGCCAAAGGCACTTAGAGAAAAAAAAATAAAGGAAATGGAATTGAATGGAGAATCATGAAGGAGAAGGGGAGTTGGGGAAAACCACCATTGTCTCAAGTGATTTATCCCACTGTTTCATAAGAAATTCTTACAACATAAAGTTCTATCTAATGCCTGGGCTATCTTATTCTGCCTTTGTTTGTTTTTCTTTTTGCTTTCCTGCTTTTCTCTTCCAAAACTTGTTTACTGTATGTAAACTTCCTAGTGCAGGAGCTACATCTCTTCACCCAACTTGGCTGTATAAAAATTTTGAACACACAGTTCTTTTTTAATATTTTTTAAACTTATCTTTCTTGTTTGGTCTTTCAGCTTTTCACTAGTTCTGTGCAGATGAGTCCCACAGATTACATCAATAATACAAAAGTAAGTTTTAATTCATGTTGCTCAGGACCCATAGCTATAAATATCTGAAAAAAGCCCCTAGTAAGCAGAGAACAGTATCACTCCCAGTTACAAAAAACATTTTATATTCTTACCTAATGTGTGTGATCAAGATAATAAAATTCTAAATGAAAAATTAGCTTTCGGTTATGTGGTAAGTTACTGTCCAATTCTGCTGAAACTTGTGGGATTAACTACCAGTATGAAATCAAATTCTTTTGATGCTGGGAGGTCACCTAACTAAACTTGGCATATGGAGGTATATCTTTGAAATAAATGATTAAAACATTTCTTCATGTTTTATGTGCAGCATTTTACATTCTTATTCCTTCTTTAAACAACTTCTCAGCATTTTTTTTTTTGAAAATTTACTGGTACCCATATTTTCCTATATGTTCCTTCATTTTA